GTGCTCAGAGTACTGTGCCCATGGCTGGACCACGATGAGAGCAGCGTCTCAAGGCTAAAACCCACTTTCGTCTTGCCTGTGTGCCAGAACCAAGGCACAACGCTGCAGTCCTAGATTTCCCTGAAGCCATGTTGTACTACTGGGAACATCTCTGCTGCAGTCATCAGTTAACTTCTGTGTTGTTTAACTGTAGATTCTGACTGCCGTAGCAGCGAGGTAAGTTAGCGCCCGCAGTGCCCCGTGGGCACCTTAAGCTGCTGTGGTTAAGCTTGGGCAGCAGAAGGTGGCAAGTGCTGGCTCCACGACAGCCTAAGCCCGGGGAACTGCTGGCTGCTGTAGGGCTGTTCTCTTGCTCTCCTCTACCTGTGGCTTTGTGATCCGGCACCCTCCCTTGTGCAGTCTCTGGTCCTTGTCTGACCTTGGGTTGAGCCATTTCAATATGTTAATCGAGCTGTTATACTGCAGCCAGCAATCTAATGTGGTTTCACAGCAGCTTAAACCAATATAAACACACTTTAAAATGCATTGGATTAAAACAGGTTTGCTTATGTAAACTGGGTTGTTCTCAACTGTCCCAAAACCCATTTCCATAATCTTGTGCACAGCTGCTGGAAAAACTTCTCTGAATTATTCTTACTCCTTCAGTTAAGGTACGACCTGAATATTTATTTGGATTTCAGTGTATCATAACCTTAGAATGGCACTCTGGTAGCTACTTTCCCTCCTTCCTTAAATGAATACCTTTCTCTAAACACCTCAGGAGTTCTCTCATACAGTAATTGTCTCTCTTACGTATTCCTCAGGTAATAACAAGGGTCCAAAGGGGGTTTTTTGTGGTGTTTTCTTCCCCGCCCCGCTCTTAATCTCTGCATATGAAATTGAAATACCTCTCTGTGGCTTGTCCAGACTCAAACTTCTGATACGTGTTTGTAACTCACTACTGGTGTGACTGGCTCTGAATGTAGTTTGTGACCATATGCTACATGTTTATCGATGTTGTAGCACCCTGCAGAGCTCTGCACTTGCCTGAGGCATCAGCTGGCACAAGACTGTTTTCCTGCAACTGGTTCAACATGCTGCTTTACTTGTGATCTGTATGGCAAGAGCATATAGGTGCCTTGGTTCAGTGGCCAGGTCTTGATTTATTGCATGTCGGTTTAAATATGTATTTGACCTTGCATCAGAGAGGTTGTGGTCATCAAAGGAAGTGGAGGATTGAGGGTGAGAGATCAAAATAGCAGTAAACATGGGATGTGTAACACCTTAATGCAGCTGTATGCTGATAGAGCCCTGCGGTATGTCTTTTGTGGTGGGTGGTCCTCTGTCCTCTTGAATGCTGGGCCATGAAGCACAGCCAGGTGATGAGCATTCCTGGTGCTGGGAGCGAGCCTCCTGCCTGGGAAGGCTCGCATGCAGTCTTGCTCCGAAACAATATGGGTTTGACAGTCAGACTGTAATTATTATATTACTGCTGACAGCTCTGTTTATGACCAGGACACATGCTGACACGTGCAGTCCGTAGGTATATACATACTGGCCTTGCCTTGAAGAAGCTGAAAGTTGTAAAACTGGTATATGCTCCACAGTACAGTGCTGCCGACACGGGTGGGGAAGCTGCTGGTTGTGAGCTTGGCCAAAGCTGTTGTGATAGGGACAGAGCTGCTCTGTGGCTGAAGGTTACACCACACTACTTCTTGACAATGCTTCTATTTATATGTTGCCTTCACTCCAGTTTCGGACCAGAGCCTAAATATATAGAATGAAGTGGCCTGTTTCCATTGTGTGGTGTTGGTTGTTTTGTCTTAATAAAGTAAACATTAGCAATATTCTTAGCTAGTTCTGCCAGCCTTTCCATTACTGCAGTCTATTTCCAGAGGCTTTGAACTTCACAACAACAACAACAAAAAAGGCAACAAAAAAGATGATTCTTTTGATGGGGACTTGGCACAGAGGGTTTAGACGGAGCAGACTAAAACAGAAATCTCCCTTCTTTTCCTGCTTCGTGCTTAAATAGAAATAAAATGCCCTCAGAGTGCCATTCCTTTAATGAGTGATAATAAGTTGCTATACAGGGAATGACTGGGATCACAGCAGGCAACAGCAAATACGAAAGCTTCATGTTAATTTTTGTGTGATGAATCTTGCTGGGGGAAATAGTGAAGAGAAAGGAGGACTGTTTTGCAGGCTTGTGAGAGGTCCTGTTTTCCCATGAGCTGTGCAGCATGCCCAAAAAGGTCTTACTCTCCCACACACCTGTCGTAGCTTCATCTTGGTATCGCTTCATTTGCAGCCACCCTGCTACGAGCTGGCAGCCTGCATTCGTGCCGCGCTGGGGCGTTGGGGCTTCCAGTTCCACTTGCTTTGAAGCAGGTAGAGACATTGTGTAGCAAAGGCTGTTTTCTGCCCCAGGAAAGACTGGTTTCTCATCATCACCGCTACAGTACTAACCGGGAATCATTCCTAGTTACATACATGTGTTTATTTCTGATTATTTTTGGTGGGGTGAGCTGCCCTGACCATCATGTGCAGTTCGTATTGTCTTTTAACTCCCTGTTTTGCTTGAAAAGCTGTCCCAGAGCTTTGCTGCTTTAATGACTGGGGTTTTTTTACAAGCCTAAGTGGAATCATGGCCCATGCAGCTTTTTTGCTTTTTTTTTTTAGTTTCTGTATTAATATAATCCTTTATAGAATCATAGAATCATTAAGGTTGGAAAAGACCTCTAAGATCATCGAGTCCAACCGTCAACCCAACACCACCATGCCCACTAAACCATGTCCCTAAGCGCCACATCTACACGTCTTTTAAATACCTCCAGGGATGGGGACTCAACCACTTCCCTGGGCAGCCTGTTCCAATGTTTAACCACTCTTTCAGTAAAGAAATTTTTCCTCGTGTCCAATCTAAACCTCCCCTGGCACAACTTGAGGCCATTATCCTTAATGTATTTACTTTTCTTCCATGGTGCTTGCTGTCAATAAATATATCGTGAAGGAATTATATTTCCTTCCGGCCTTTGTTTACCTTGGCTAAATAAGTTGTTACTTAAGTCTCCTCTCGTGATGTTGTCCTGCCTCGTAAGTCACTCCTGTGCACTCATTCTCTGCAGCAGCTCCAGTTAAATCCATTTTCTTGAACTTGATGGGTGAAGTGACACACAGCACTACAGGTGAGGTCTTAGCATGCAAGGAGATTACTGCTTTGCGTCTCTGAAAGTACTTTCTTGATGCATTTTAGGCTTCCAATCTGCCTTTCTCATGGCTGCTTCACACTGTGACTGACTTGATGCATCCAGTTCTCTCTTCCTTTGGTGTTCTCCCAGTGATAAGCTGCCCTTTGTAGGAGTAGTATTTGTTAATTCTCATACATGCACACTCTGTATTTTTAACTGCATTTCCCTTCTAGTCTTCAAGGTTTTTCAGCTTTTCTGTGTGATGTCCTGATCTTCCTTTATATTGCTGCTTCCCAGCTTGCTTTCCTCAGCATCACACTTTCTTTCAGGTTTCTCCTGAGGAATTTTGGACGTTAACTATGCAATAGGGTCAGTGCCTGACAGGCTCTGTTGTAACTTGCTTCCAGCTTTCACCTCCCTGCTCACTGTACTGTCCTCTCCCTTTCAGACATGTC